GATTTTCCATGCCAAAACGTTTGGGTAAAGAGCTTTCTGCAAGCACAAATAAAATTAATCTGAATGATGATCCTGTAGAGTGAATTGATTGATAATCAAGAGATTAGATTCATTCATTTTGGTTATTGTTTGCCTAGTTGTGTGACGGATACTTGCCAAAGACTACATAGTAGGATCTTAACAAGCGAGAAAGCTAAATTATCAGTCAGAAAGTTCAAAACTCCATTTCACTATTTTTTCTATGTCAAGAAGTTTGTAATTATGAATTTTATAAAGATTTTACAATCTTGTCACATATTATTCTCTCTCCATAGTTCACAATTTTGTGATGTTTTGATTAATTTGATGTCATGCACGTGGTTACAATCATGGAATGAATAGGTTAAATCACTGCATATGTGGACTAAATGTACGTTATATCGTGTGAGTTGTAGAAATAAGTGTTTGTGAATAAATTTACTTTGAACATACCTGCGTGCATGTCTTCCTTCTCTAGATGTGGTCAAAGCATTCACCAAATCTTATGTTGATGGAAATACATCACTTCTTCAAATCTAGCTACTCCATACATTTTGGAGTGAAAAGTTTATCACTTGATGTAGTCTTGGAAGCTGAGTCCGCTGTTGTGATTCTTCATGACACCGAAGTCAATAGTAACTTAAATTACAATTTAACACATCCAATTTTTCCGATAGCTATATCTTGTGAGTTGTAAAATCATAGTTTTGTGGCAAGTATGAAGTATTTGTGGACAAGTTTACTTCTAACTTCAAGCTTCTGAATCTGGGTCCATGTCTTGCTCGTTCATGTGTGGACCAAGCATAGATCAAAACTTGTGTTAATGGAAAGACATCACTTCTTTGGATCCAGCTACAAACAGTTTGGACTAAAAGCTTTATCATTTACAAATAAAAGAAAGTACAAAATCAAAGGAGAGGGAACTCTAGCCACTACTCTCGGCACTTTAAGGAATCTGCTTCATGCTGTCATCGATGAATTGGCTAGTGGCTTTTGTCAAATTCTAGTAAGTACATAACAGATATAAGTTTCTTTATTTGTTGTTGATCATACTCTAGTTGTTTGTAGTTGAAGCTCACGGATCTGTTTGATAAAACCATTTTTCAAAATTGGTGTATTGCATTGTTATATTGAGTACCTTTTACAATGCCTAAGTTTACACCTTGCGTAATCTAGAAAAACCATGAATTCAAGCAAATTTGTCTACAATTACCTGCACTTGGCATATAGTTAGAGCTCTAAGTTTTAACTCTTGCTGCTCTTTCATACAGATGTTCCTTATATAAGCTGTTAATCATAACAATTATATAATTGAAATATATAAATCGTGGTGTTTTGAGTACTTAGATGCCATGCAGATACATCTGTGTTTTTAATGAGATCATACGCATAGAACATATGTGAAGAAAGTTGTATTTCTGTATGAAAAATCAATTTCACAAGATAAGGAATCTATACCATCTGTTTTGAAGTTTTCAAGTACTATCCAATAATTTCAGGAGGAGTTATGTAGACATTTCAAGAGTCATTAAAACTTTAATTTTCTATTTTTTCTATGTTTAGAATTTTGTAAATTTCAATTTATAAAGATTTTTCCACCTTGACACATATTTTTATCTTCAAGAACTTGTTAATGGCAGTGATATGTGGCAACTTCTAAAGCCTTGTGAATTTTGTATGTTTTTATATGTTTTTATATGTTTTGATAGCTATTACGGTATCACAAAGCTTTTTTCCTTTGTATATACTTTACTCTAAGTTTGATGTCGTTTGAAGCTAACCAGAGGATGTGCTCTGGTTATAACATGGATTTGACGGTTCTGCATCATACTTTGACTTGTCCGATCCATAACTGCAAGTGGTCAACAACGGATGTCCAAGTTTCTCTGGATATGATGGAGAAGTTTGGTTTCATTTCACTCCGTTTTATCATTTGTACACAACTAAACTAAAGTTCTCGTATTGACTTATGTGGATTATATTTTACCACAAGCACATCCTTTACAAGTGTGAGTCAAGTACATTTGCTTTTTCCGGCTTTTTCAAGCTGTTATTATCCAACAAACTCTAGCTAAAAACAGAAGTTGCGTCCCCTATAGGTCATAATGAAAGAAACTAAAGTGAATCATGCAAGTGAGATTCAAAATCGACTATATTTGATAAATCTGTACATCTTTCAATATTTCACTAAAACATTCAAAAATTTTACATCGTATGAGAACCATTGACATTGCCACAATCAACCAGAAAATGCATTCGCCAGATTTTGTGCATTTACTCATTGATTCTTGTTCAATGCGAAGACGCGTGAAGAGATTATCAATTTTAAGTGTGAAGAGATTCAAAGTTCATCTTTGAAGAGAATAGCATATAAAAATCACATAACACAACTATACACAACTGACATTGTTGGATAATGGTTTGGTGAAGATCTAGATCATGCTGGAACATGATCACTACACGCGTTTCCTTTAGATACATAATTAATCTGAAATTTCACTTGGTATTTGATTACTCCCTCTTACTTGGCATGTGAAACAAAAAAAGTAAAATATGTCTCAACATGCGGTTCCACACGTCTATGCACTAAATAAAATCTAAATTATTTGACAAAGTACATCAAGGCACATATTACTACCTTCAAGAACTTGTCAATGGCCGTGATATGTCGCAACTTCTAAATTACAGTTTTTACTTTGTATATACTTTACTCTGAGTCTGAGGTGAGTCAAGTCTAGGCGACAATGAATCTTTGTGTGTGAGTGACTGATTGGAGAATTCAATCTTGATATTTCATACAAGGAATATCATCATAAGAATGTCCATGATATCACATTTGCAAGAAAACATGATCAACAAATTCTAATCGAGACGGTTGTCAATCTTTTTCTGTCTGAAAAGAACACAGCCTCTTGCGGTTTCCTATTTGGCCTTCTACAAAATCTATTATTTTTGACATTTCATGCAAGTCCGGATATTCCCGGACTGGGATGAATGAATTGTGAGCCTGGTGTGTAAGGCTTAAAAATGAAGGAAAGACAAAGTTTAGATCCACGGCAAGGTTGGATCATAATAATTGCTAGCGCGGAATAGCTCCAATGCAGGACTGAAGAGCAAATGATGTGATCGTCGACACATATTTTGCATCGACTAACCATGTGTCCAATTTGAATAAAGGTCTAACGCTTAACTAGAAGTTAAGCGTTGAACGGGTGAATTCTTCACGCGACGGTGACAAATGAGAGACCGTCACAACGGTCATCGTATGCTGTCAACCCACGAGCATACGGTCGGGGTTGTTCTAGCCTACCATCTAATTAGCCTAAACTTAGTCATAACTAGTCGCTTCCATTTTTGTGAGTGTCATCCTTGCGCAAAGGGCCATGCTAATCTTCTTTGTATGATTTAAATTTTATCTGATGTTCCTAAAGGGAAATAGATGAAACCGGATATATTATTTTTTGTGTAAACAAGTTATGTGATAAGAGTTATAAAAATGTAATGCATGATCGAATTAAGATTCAAACGTTTGCATCTTTAATATATTTTATCAAATACAAACTTAATGATGGGATGAAATTAAGATGTAGTGACTAATCTTGACACAATTGTTAATAAAAAAAGGAGAAGATATTATGTTGTGCATTCATACAAAATAATAAATCCTTCGGTATAAAAGAAATTTTTTAAAAATACATCTAATAGATGTAATCACATGCATCTAACAGACTCAGATGTATGCACACAAATAATAATAATAAATCAAAGGATTTGAGATGTAATGAGTATTCAAAATATGTCAAATATATGTTATTTTATTGATAATAAGTATATTTTCATGTATATCAACGCATAAATTTAGATAGTTTTATATATATGCCAAATCTCTAATGTCACACTTGGTCATGTTATAATGGTAGCAGCAAAGACTATCATGATACTCATATCATATATGAATGAATGCATGTGAAGAAAGAATTATGCAAGATGTTAGTTTGCTTGACGAACTAAAATATAGTAACAAGAATAATCGATTCATTTAGAACATAGGTGCTTCCGGGGGCCTCGGACCATATGTTCATGTACATCCAATATGTAATGGCAAAAGTTGTGTCTATACGCAACTCTGTCGCATGAGACCAGGGTATATGACCGTACTCGTACTCCAAGACTGCGAAAGACATATAAGTACATAATGCATGACTTTAGAAGCCGAAGAAAATGAGCAGCAAATGATATCATGTTATGGACTTTCACATCTTGATTCTCGAGTTTAAAAGATGAATTCGAAAGCTAATTACAAGCATGCTTGATTCATATTACATGTGTCACGATTTGTGTATCACATTCTATGGAGTGATATAAATTTTAGAAACTGTAGCTCTGTCATAAATCATGAATAAATTGTATCAATCATAATTAAGTATATATTGATGTCAAATACCAAGTGCAGATTATAGAATGTTGACTCTCTCATACGAGATAGCATGCTGATATAACAAGTCAGGATGTAAATATGAGAATGATTGAAAAAAAAGGACTGACGTAGCGGCTTGTTAATCATACATCAATGACGACTCTAAGTTCTCTAATAACAGATGTAAATGAAATGATTTCAAAAGAATTCTCAATGTGGAGAAATGAGATAGGCATAAGAATTCTAATGACCAAATATACCATGTCAAATTCATTTTGTGTCCAGTCCCTTGTGAAGTGGACAAACGGGACGCTCGAAATAGTAATGGTATCATTCGCTAGTGGTACCTTCTAGTCCTTTTCCCGTAAACTCTCCGGCCAGACCACGGCAGCAAAATTGAGATCCGCTTTGGACTCTTTGGTTGTTTTGAGGCCTCCGCTTCAGGCCTTTCTTCTCTCGCGCGATTGTGATTCTTCCAAGTTTCACAGTACTTCTGGCCTTGGTTAGCTTCGACTAAAACAGCGAGAGCAGTCGTCCAGTATGGGGCCGCTGGCGGTCACAAGTCACAGGCACCCACGTCGGATGCCTCCCCAAGAGAGGGCTAAAGGTGTGCGTACAGTTTGTCTCAAGCCCTAGTTTAGCTCAAAGTACATGTTCGTCGCCTCGGCTCTTTCAAAGGCCTCAGATGTCTCTGTTCACAAACGATGCTTGCGCAAGCACTGGCTTTCAATTTGTCTGCGTTTTGATCGATTACCCGGTTCCGCGCCGGAGAACATCAATCAACTGCAAAGATCTGCTTGGAAATTAGGGGGTTCTTTCTAGGGCTGCATGCATTTATCGCGCTGCGTCGGTTGATGGGATTGCCCGTGGCAACTTCTTCGGAGAAGCGGATTTGAATTGCGTCGTTGAAGACGAGTTGCTGTAGAGGGCGAGTGAGCCCGGAAGTTTTGCAAAGATGAAGACCACCAAGGGTGGTAAGGTTATGAATCCCACGGATGCGTACCGCAAGGAGCTCCGCAAGAAGGAGCTGAAGAGGGTGAGTGAAACAATTGAACGAAATTCTGCATCATACGTGGACAGACGTTCCATGCCGTTGATCAGCAGCGAAATTCGTTCTCCCTATGTCCTTTATTTCATTGCGTTATTTTTCTGATATTATTTTGGATTCTGTAACACGACTCCTTTTCTGCATCTGCAGCAAATATGCTTAGTTGCATCATAAGGCTAAGCACTGTCCAAATGTACCATGCGTTTTTCCTGAGAGCACTCTCACTTAGGGTTCTTCCAATTTTACTCCAACTGGAAGCTTTTTCACGAAAAAAACATGCCGTAAAATTATACGTAGGTTTGCATTTTTCATTTCTACATTGATCCGGTTGTGTGACTTGCCTCCGCTTCAAATTTTGGTTTGCAGAATAAAAAGGAGAGAAAGAAAGTGCGAGAGGTGGGGATTCTGAAGAAGGATCCTGAGGCCATCAAGGAGCAAATCAGGAAACTTGAGATGATGAGTATGTGCCAGGGTTTATACATTTCAATTATTTTTTTGTGATGTATGGGCTTCATGCCTTGACGAGAGGGCTTACTTTCTGTCTGGGTTTACCAAATGCACTTAAATCACTTGTGAACTGTCATTCAGAATCTGAAGTTTCTCGGTGGAAGACTGTCACTTATCTCAAGGAGAAGGCAGAAGCCAATCACAACTGTTTACCTTCTGCCTCCTGGTCTTGCATCTTGCACTGAGGTTACTAGACAGGGAATGGATGATCGGTGGATAACTTTTGTGGCAGATGGTGGAAGTTTTGTCACCTTATGACCTTGGCACTTTGAGCAACGTTCAAGGACGATTCAGTTTTGCTAATCTGTCTGCTAGGTGGGAAAAATAGGCAGAGTTTGATTTGAATGTTTGTGAACCTCCGATGACTGTGAAGGAGCACAAGCCCTGACATTTTTGTTGACTCAATCCACAAGTGGTTACTCATATTAAATCTCCATGAACTTTTTGCCACTGGAATCTTTGCAAGTGTAGTTTTCACTGTTGGCAGTGGCTTTTCCAGATTGTCGCCTCTTGACGTAGGATTTGCTTGTATGTTGCAGAGGCTGATGGAGCCCTTGATAAGACTCGAAGACACAAGAAGAGGCAGTTGGAAGACACCCTGAATTTGGTGATCAAGAAGCGGAAGGTACACATTTATGCAGATGTTCCTTTTCCTTCTATATATCTTGTACTTTGGCGATTCATTCAAATAGCTGGTACGAGAAGTCGTAGGGTATATCTTGTCTCAAATGGTCTCTATTGAAGACAGTGGGAAAACAACAGTTGAATAACATGTAACCGTGTTGAATTTCAGGAATATGAAGATAAGATGCGAGAAAAGGGCGAGGAACCAGTGATGTTCAGGTAAAGTTGATTATAGTTTACCTAGTATGCATAATCATGACATATTTTGCGTCGAATGGTAGCTTTTAAGGGGCTTTGATATGTTACCCGAATGTCGCGGTGATTTCTGTCTTTTCTGGAATTGTCCAATCAAGTAGTAAGCAGGTACCTTGAAGTTTCGAATTATCTACCTTTTCCCCCCCTCATCTCTTTGCTACTATCGCAGAGATGCAGTTAGTACGCTCTCTTGTCGATTGTAGGCCCATAACATAAACTCTGGAACAACGATTGAATGCCCAAGTCAAGCTTGCAACGTTGTCATACTGTATAGAGGAATGAATGAATGATATGAACATTTCGTTTCGTTTTCCTTCGTCTCTATTTGACTCTCACCAACTGACTTTACCGTTGAAGTTTAAGCCCCACGTCCTGATCAGATTTGATCTACTCCAGCTGTTTAGAATGTTTACAGGGCTATGTAATCTTCCTTTTAGAATCGAATTTGTTATATGTCTTGAGTCCTCGATTACTTCGTCGGAGGGACTTCAAGTGGGCTGATTTTCGACCATTCTTCTGATGCTTTACTGGCAGCTTTTATCATTCGTATTTGTATCCAGCCCTTGCTGAATGCTAGGAACGGCAATACTGCTCCAGTGGATTTTCTCGATTTCTTGTTTATCTAGAAGCTGAAAGAAATACCTGTTTTGGCCAGTCACTTACCAGCTCCTCGAAGACGAGCTACGGCTGAAGAAGAAGAAAGAGCGAAGCATCCTAAGCCGGAGGTAAAGCCGGAGAATTTTCTCATCTGAAATGTTTACATTTTCTGTATGCCGTAAATGATGTGTCTTAGTGGAGCAGTCGATGAAAGCTTTCGATTGGATATATGTTGCAGGACTCTGTCTACTTTCATCCATCTTTGAATCCCAGTGGAGCTCCTCCACCTGGCAAGCCACCGATGTACAAGTCATCTATTGGTATGTTACTTGTTCATTTTAGGACTGCGTATAACTGAGATTGTATTTCCATTTAATTCGGAGTTTCTAGCGTATCAGAGAGGATGCATCGAAGTGTGCGATTGTTGATTGGGATTGTTGAGACTAAGAAGTTGTGAATGTGTCACTCGTCTTAGATTTTTGTCCCTTCTTGAGCTCATCTGAAGGGCACTCTCGGCTTGCGGTTCTCAGGACCTAGAATTCCTCTATCAGCTGGTGGATCTGGATCGAGAGCAGAAGGGGAGGGCGAAGGCGAAGAAGGAGAGCAGGAAACGGGACCCCTGCCACTACCTCCACCGCCACCCCCACCTCCATTGCCCAGTGGAGAAGGTTCTTCCAGTGCAGGAGGAGAGCCAGTTATCCCTCTCCCTGTGCCTGTACCACCACCTCCCCCAGCTCCACCCCGTCCAGCTGCTGCTTCTGTCTCCTTACCACCTCCACCTCCCGGACCACCTCCCGCAACGGCAGGAATTTCGCAGACCGTAACTGCGCTCCCGCCGCCACCTCCAAGGCTCCCACAGCCTCCCCCTCCAGGGACTGCCCAAGAAGTACCAACAACAATTGCTCCACCTGGCACAGACGATGGCTTGAGGATTGAGGTTACAGAGAAAAGTTCAAGCACGGCAGCATCACAAGACAGAGTAAGGACATCTTGTTTTCTGTTACTTATGTCTTTTGTTACATCTAACAACGTGCTGGTAGCAGACCTATTGAGCTGTTACAATTCTTTGTGTATTTGACCGGGAGTTTGTATTGACAGCAACGTACTCTTCGGCCTTTTGTTCATATACAATCTACAACGAGATCCTGTAGTCCTCCTAGCCAGGTCGCGGTCTGCGGTCTTCGGGCTATGACTGCATTATACGATTGAGTACAGATGAATGATAGTATGTCGAGATTCTTGTTTTCCAAGGTCATAGTAGTCCCGCATGTATAAACTCATCTATTTCGTCGACACCCTTTTTATTCGTGCTAATTCAGATCATAATGTTTAATATTGCAGACCTCAGGCCGTCTTCCTCCTCCACTACCTCGTCGACCAGCATCTGCTCAAATGCAAGAAGAGGAAGCGGAAGAAACCTTTAGTTCTAAAGAATCGGCACCAGTGCAACGCCCTCCTCCCCCGCCTATCAGACCTCCTGCTGGACCACCTCCCTCACGACCTCCCGCACTGCTGATGAGACCCCCGCCTGGCCCTCCTCCGCAACCATCTGAGAGAGCTGAAGATATGCCTCCAGGTGTCACACGGCTGCCTCCACCTCCCCCTCCACCTTCAACAATGCGCCCCCCAATGTCTCTGCCTCCACCCCCTCCACCTCCTCAAAGAATGCCACCACCTGGCATGGCACCACCACCCGGCCCTCCTCCTGGGATGGGCGGTAGACCACACCTAGGACCTCCTCCCCCAGGACCTCCCCCGGTTATGCGGCCTCCCCCTGGTCCTCCACCTATGAGTGGTGACTCCGTCGGACCATCTTCGGGTCTTCCACCACCACCACCGAGAATGTCAGACGCAACAGGGCCAGATGATGGAGGTCGATCTAGCGCAGCGAGGCCATCATATATAAAGTCTGCTGCCGCAACAGTTATCAAGAGACCTCTTGCTCAACATACACCTGAGCTAACATCTATGGTATGGAACCAACGATAGCTGTTTCTCTTTGCAGCTAGTGTCATCTGGTGTTCGATGAATTTCCCAGAATTTAGGAAATTACTGATATTGTTTGTTTAGAGGATAATGTTTGTGAGCTGTCTTGGTTAAAGGTGTAAATTAGGAAAGAAGTTCAATTGTCGATACTGATTTGGGTTTGGACATGATGTCACTCAGGTTCCTGCATCAGTTCGAGTGCGCAGAGAAAACGCCATGAAGTCGAAACCGAAAGCTGCCACACCGGCAGGACCAGTGCCTCCTCCAGCCTCAGTCGCAAAACCTGCGCCACCACCGTCTGCTGTGAAACCACAAAGTATTGATGATTCATATTACGCCTTTTTGGAAGATATGAAAGCACTAGGTGCATTCGACGAAGGAGAGAAGACGTACTGAAGTATCACAGTAGTTTTGCTAGTCTCTTGAAGGTAAGTTCATAGTTATTCTGACTACGCACATTCTTCCGATTCAAGCTTGGGTAAATGTCCCATTTTCGCTTGGCCCCATGTACAGGCATCGAGTAACCATTCTTACGCATTAGAAAGGATTCGAGATATTTTGGTGGATGCCTTGATTCCAGGTGAATTCACTTGTATTTGTAGCTGCTGGCGGTCTGTTTAGTTGTATATTATAAGGACCTCTCAAATTTGCAGATGAGAGACGTCGAGCCGGTCTTTCTCTGCTGAGTTTTTGTGTACGTTACGAATTTAATGTGCCATCGCAATTGTCTCATAATAACTAAATCTTACTAGCAGAGGACAGTTTATGGGGCCAATAGATCTTTTTCACATATGACGAAAATGATTGAGTTACTAATTAAAGAAGTTGATGAGCGAGAAAGTCTTGCTACGAAGGAGAGAAGCTTTGAGAATGTAAGTTCTACCCCACATCAAGTGGCTTCGTTGTGAGACGATCGAGTCTGGACATTTCTTGTGTGTGGAATGTTTTCCGAGATCTCAAAGTATCTAATTCCTTGGTGATCACATGCTCCTGTCGTATTACGCTGTTCTTATTCTCACTTCATTCACCGAAAACAGGGTTTGCCCACCCACTTATCTGGTATAAATCGTTCGCCTGAAAGACGCTGTAGACAATTAACGTCTCATTTTCGGGAAAGTGTTTGATGATTCGATTTCAATTGCATCAACACACAAGGACGGACGAGGCGGAAGACTGATATATCATCTTGTGTTTAGTTATTTTGACAACAAAACGGTGACAATTCTATATCCTGGCGATAACTTCACAATTTGTAAAAACAACCGGGATCGTGGCCACGTGTGTGAATATGATCTCGCATTATGAGAGGTTTATCTCGTAGACACAGTATGCAGAAACAAATGTAATAGACATGGTGGTTGTCCAAGACTGAGTGTGATGTGTTTTATATAGTAAAAATCTGAGTATAGTAAAAATCTGAATACTCATGAACAATTGCAGGGATTACATTGACTAAAAGTTTAATTTTATTTATTATTATAATATTGTGTATTTTGATCCAAACTAAAAGGCACTGTGACCCATGTAGTTTATAAGTACTTATTATCAAACTAATTCCAGTAAGTAAAATACATCAAGAATGTTTTCCATAATCTAAGGAAACCAATAGTCATTGTATGACTAACTGAATGTATGAATGCTTATCGAAATTTGTATCAAACCAGGACGTAAAAAGACGAAATTCTGATTTAGGTGAAACTAACCTATCTAATGAGACGTCTGGAACCTAACCGTTTACACTAGTATCTAATATATCTTATCAAGTATTTTTATAATCTAAAATTATCCGGTGATGTTTATATCAACCACATCACTATTTGTCATTTTGATGATGTGGTGACCAATCTGAGATTTCGCTGAATTGGCCGTAGCTAATTAAAGAATGTTATCAAACCTGTTGATATAAACTGTTGACCTTCCAATGCTCTCACACCAAAAAAGTTAGGATATAACTTTTTTGGTGTGAGAGAATTGGAAGGTCTTTGCAGAGTATAACGTCCATAAACATCGAATTCCATAAACATTAGATTGTAACTAGCAAATCTGTCCAATAATAGCAATTCGTCACTAAAGGCAATAGTGACATGCACCATTCCAATAATGATAATTCGAAGTGTAGTTTCGGAGGTACAACTTCTATCATGATCACATGACAGAGTTGTGAGAAAGTGGAGTGTGGCATACTTATTTCATCGTCTATCTCCACAATTCACTCTTGCTCAGCTTTAATAAAATAATTTGCTACAGATAGTCTCATAGATTGTCACGCTCAAATTTTTGTGCAGTAATCCATATTCAAATGCAATAATAGTGCACTATAAGAAGACTACGGACTTTCTTCTTTTGAACATTACAAAATTGCAAATAAAAGCGAGGTTGCAGCCAAACAACCCACTTATAAAATGTTTTAGCCAAACAACACAATTCTAAAATGTCCTAGTACGGTATAACATATTATAAGAAGGCCAGGCACTTTTTTCTTCTTGTGAGTGACACCTCCCAATAGTCACATCCAACCCTAACACCAACACAAATGTATGTCATTGTTGAGAGATTATACTCAAGTCTATCCACTTTTCTGGTGTGACATCTCCCAATATCGACATCTAATCCTAACACACATGTATGGAGTTTTAAATATGTATGAATATTTTGACATATGTGAGAAGCCAAGACTGATGTGCTTTTAAGATAAACAAATATCAAGGACTATATGGACAAGTACATTACTCCATACCTCATGTTTTGAAAATCATAGACTTTAAATAGATATCTTTATTACAGAGTATTTTCTGCTTTATCATGATATACTTATGTTGAACGTTTACTGCTACCTTATTGCATGTACAAACATACAGTGGTTAGTATATATATATACACCTGAGAGGAATATAGTTTCATTAAGCTTGTTTTAAGGTTGAGATTGTTATCGTTGCTGATCATTGGCATGCAGTAGACATGAAAGTGTCATTTAGTGATAAATCACATTATCACATAGTGATTTGTGACAACTAACTTTCTCCATTTCTTGTAGGCCCGGCATAATGCTTTTGTCGGCTTTCTAAGACTTGTCATTTTCATGTTAGGTCATGTGGTTTCCTCAAGCCTTTTTCGCTACGCATCACGCTAATCCCTTCACAGTATATAAGAGCCCTATGACAAGTCTCCACCTCATCACATGTGTGAACTGGCCTTGAATTTCCGTTGGATCTATTATCATCTTTATTCTACAGGTGTAGACTCCTAGAGCTCATCGTGTCGGAATCAATAGAATCCACCGCTCGTGCTGTGCGTTCGCACGAGATTTCCTTCCACTGGGGCGATGGAATGTTGCCCACAAATGGTTCATACAACAATCGTGACCGTACATCCAACCTGACATTAGAGTATCTTGCGTGAATGAGGTCATCCATGATCGACCTGTAAATCCTCTAGTATCATAGCTACTTTTTGGTCCTGCAATGTACACCTTGGAGAAGCCTTGCGCGTCATGGGCTTTCACTAAGTCTTGGGCTACTGACGAGGGGATCCGCCGCTTGTACTCAGGTAAAACAAGAACAAGAGTCCTATCATCTTCAAGACGAAGAGAAAAGCTTTTCTTGATATTGAAATGAGTATTACAACAAAAATTAAAAAAAATCAAATGTATTATGTAATTAAAATAACATAATACAATATAATCATCACAAACAAGGACTATGAAAAGAAAACCTTATCTTCCATTATTGGTGCTGGTCTTTGTTTGGTTGTCCAAGTATTTACAGGTTTTTTCTTTGCTTATTAACGAAGATTAAATTGCACGATGAATTATTTCCACAAATTATTTTAATTATTATTTTAAAAAATTTAATTAATTTTAAATAATAAATTTTTTTCATTATCTACTAAAACTTTCTAAATTTTACTTTAGAAATATATTTTTTTATTTCACTTGAAAATATTTTTTCAATAAATATTTCATTCTATTTTGCTATAGTATCATTCTTGGTATGCATACCATTAAAATTATAAATGGTTGAAAATGAGTTTAAGCCACACACATTTGAATTTTGATTTTAATTTTGATACAACTGAAAATGAATTCTTTGATTGATATCTTAACATCATTGTAACTTTTAAATGATATACACATTTTCTTTCAAAATCAATAAAATGGTTTGATCAATCTTTTATTACATTGTACTTTCAATTCCCAAGTACAATTCATGCAAACCAATTCGAGCTCCATTGAATTGTTGGTTCAAGTCAATTTATTACAGCCGAACGATCTACAGGAGTCTAACGAGAATTGAATTCTGGCTCATTGTGTCCCACGAACAATGCATGGAATGTATGTATACACGCTATGCATCTCGACAATCATGTTGTGGGCATTCATGCGCGTTTTTTGAAAGTGCTAGAGTGATCGCCTCGCGAGCACTGCAGTTACACTCACAAACATGCACATAACGTCTCAAAGTTTTTTTGAAAGAGCTAGAGTGATCACCTCGCGGAGCACTGCAGTTACACTCACACACATTCACATCACGTCTCAAAATTTTGTAGTTTCGCCAACTTTTTTTGGCACAGACGAACATATTTCTTCTACCGACAACATCTCTTCATGTTCCTCTCTTGCACGGGATGAGGTGGGTGGGATACCATCGGGTAAAACAGTATGTGGTGGATCCCATCAAGTTTTTTCCTGTTACAATAGATCCCATCAAGTTAATTTTTCACAACAAATCAATCTTTATGTCCAATACACACTGTATGTGACAAATTAATATTGAGAAAAATTTCAAGACATAGATTAAAATAAAAAATAGAAGTGACAATTGATAAAACTGCAAATAACAGTGAACACAAATTGTTTTTTTGGAATTCAAGAGCTTTCTGTCATTCTCTATTGTTGAATCTTCTGTTACAAAATAAAAGATTTGCAGAACTCCACATCTTTGTGCAATAAATAAATCGCTGTTTTATCATATGCCTTCTTAGACTCCATGATCACAAGTTGGCAGAATAATTTTTTTTGCATATATTTAATAAGACTGCTGGTTTCTGACGCGGCCCGGGTCTGTATACGGAACACGTAATTTTAGACAGGGGAAGATGGTGTTAGCTTCACATGTTTATTAGGGTGCTATTATTCATGGACGTAGTGTGTTTGTCATAGAATAAAATATGAATTTTCTTACAGTAAAGGGACTTTTCCCCAATACATAGCGTATAACTACGCTCGTAAGATGTTATGATAAGAATCTTTAGAAAGAAGGAAAATTACAGAAATCTATAACGATAATAAATAATACTAACAATCAAACAATTGGATTCGATCAATCTTTTTATTTTCTATCAGATTGGATTTCTGCTATATACCTTGAAATCTATAGCTTTGATGGTATCGTCTAGTACCCATTGTGTCCTATTGTGAACCTAACGATGATAATTCCACTTGGTGATCGGTGAAAGGATGAAGAGTGCAAACTATGACTTCGGGGTATGTAAACTACACATACAAAAACGATATGCTCGTAACAGTAAGTTACTAATAAAGTATTCATGTATAATATCAATTAAGTTGAAGCTGTGTAATCGTTAGAAAACCTTTGGGAGACTAGAACTGACTGACTAACACCTTGTGGGTCATAGCTACGGTCCGTTTGGGGTCTTGGCAGCTGCACCGCAAGAATGAAGGTTTGAGGTTCGGGTACTTCTGCCGCAATTGGCAACTTGTGCCTTGTTGCGAGGCCTGCGATGACATGAAGGAAATGCTGAGTCCTCTGGATCGATGGCCCCACAAGGAGACATTCAACATCCTCTACACTAGATATTCTGGAGTCCCGGGTGTCCACTTCTGCTCACGCTTTTCATCAACTTCCCCTCTCGCCCGTCAGCTTGCCTCACGTTGACAGAATGTTCTCCTCAACTACGTCGAGGCTTGTGAGGCAGACCCTGCCTCTTCTGAGTCATTTTTTATCTCGTCGTCCGACGAAATACGTCGGTCCCACGCGAGCGGCTTGACGTTTGTGTTTCTGCTTTCGCG